CGAAGTGCACAGCCAGCTATACAAGCACTGTCTCCTGAGGTATGCAGTTTCTCACCCGTCTCTTCCACACCCACTAAGTTCCCACGCAGGATGTGCTTCTGAATGGTCTCCGGTTTTGTTGATCAGAATGGTCCTGGGCCAGCATCACTGGGGGCTTATAATACATTTACCAGCAAGGGGGCCAGGCCTCCATCCTTGCTTTTTCCCACAACTGTCTTGCAATCCTTTTTTTAATTTTTTACACATTTATCCTTCTTCCAGATGAATTGTTGCTTAAGCAACACCTGAGTTTAAACGTTCCCTCGAATATATTTCAGTGTGTGGGAGGCAGCGTGTTAAGTGCTGTCGCCTGCGTTGTGTCATCTTCCCGTAACCCTCACCACGACCTGCAGCCCGGGAGGAGGTGGGTCGTTCCTGGGACAGGAGCTTCCCCCAACACGCACGTGCATGTACACACACACACACACACACACACACACACACACACACGAGTCCCCGCTGTGTGGGTGTCTCACAAGGCTCGGAGGAGGTGTGGCACCAGGATGCGTTTCTTGTTTTCATGGAGCTGCTGACCTGAGAGCCTGATTCAGAGGCTGAGCTGAAAATCGCTGTCTCCTGACTCACAAGCCAGTCCCAGGTGTAAGGGCCCCGTCGTGATGTGGTGGTTTCCCTTCCTGGAAGCCCCATCTCTGGAACTGGAAGCAGAGCCCTTGGCTGGCTGGAAAACCTGGAGAAAATCCCAGGAGACTGGTGCCTCTGGCCAAACTGGCCCCGCTTCCCCGGCTCTCTGGAGACTGGCACATGCGGCCTTAGCTGGCTTGGGTTTTCTTCATTTTGTATTCAAATTGTAGTTCCTGAGATTTACTTCATTTTGCATTTTTTAAATCCACTTGGGACATAATCACATGGGCAGACTGTTGGCTTTTTCACAGCACTAACTTGGGGAAAGTCTCAACTTTGTCCTACGAGCCCATGGAGAGGCAGATTGGTGGCAGCGGAGAGGGCACTGGACTCAGTTTAGCCTGAGGATGTGGATGTATTCATTCGTGTAGGACAGACTTGTTGATCTGCTTGTTGCCTGGGCCCTGGGATTTTGACAGATAGCAGGTCAGCCCTGGCCTGGGCCTCATAGCTGACAAGATAACAACACCATTTCAGACTGTGAGCTTGGCCCTTGCTCTGCATGACAGCCCTGGAGACCCAAGCAGCACACATCACCCGCTCTCAGCTGCACCGGGGCCGCACTGCAGGCAACACGGCCCCTCTGCTTTCTCTGTCCTGGCTCCCAGGCACCTGTAGGAGAAGCACACATGGTCCGTCTTAGTCCGTTCAGGTTACTCCAACAGAATACCACAGACCGGGTGACTTCTGAACAGACATTTATTTCTCATAGTCTGGAGGCTGAAAGCCCAAGTTCAGGGCACCAGCAAGGTTGTGAGGGCACACTTCAAGGTCACAGACTTCTTGCTGTGCCTTCATGTAGTGGAAGGAGCAAGGGATCTCTGGGGGTCTCTTTTATAAGGGCACTAATCCCATTTATGAGGGCCCCACCCTCATTACCTAATCACCTCCCAAGGGCCCCATGTCCTGACACCATCACATTGGAGGTTAGGATTTCAACATGAATTTGGGGGTGACACATTCGGACTATAGCATGGTCTTATGTGCTACAGGTACAGGTTGGGATTTTGAGATAAAGCCCAGGAGCACACAGGCACTGTGGGTCCTTGAGTTTTCTCTCTGGGGTCTCACCCAGGCTTGACAAAAGAGGAAACTGAGGAACAGAAGGGGACAAGTGGCAGCCAGGGCAAAAACATGGGTCTTTTGGCCACTGGGTTGTACCTGGCCCCAGGGCCATGCTGCCTAAAATGGTGCCTTTGTGTGTTGAGCACTTGAACTGAGTGAAGGAGGAGCAGCCCCTGATGTCTTGTGTCTTCTTTTCCTATCTAGGTGAATCCAGGATCTAGCTTCCAAAATGTGGCGGCTCTTGGCCACCCTCAGCTGCCTGGCAGTGCTGACCAGTGCTCGGAGCAGGCTCAGTTTCCAGCCCCTGTCAGATGAGCTGGTCAACTATGTTAATAAGCGGAACGGCACATGGAAGGTGGGCTGTGGTGACCGCTTCCTGCATGTGTCACTCCCAAGGGTCGTCGGTCTGGGCACCCTGACTCCTAGCAGAGGTGGCTTCAGCTGTGGCCCACAGGACAGTTGAAAATCTAATTCAGAGTCATGGCTGCTCAAGATCATGCCCACCTCCTCCCTACCCCCCTTCCGTGTGTGCATGTGTATGTGTGTGTGTTGCCCGTGTGTGAGCGTGCATGGAGGTGCAGGGGGATAAACAAGCTTCGGGAGTGTTCATAATTGGGTCTCCTGTGAGTTCCACTGTGGTAGGTGTTATGGCTCATTAATACTAGCAGCTCCTTGATCCTGCCCAGTTCTGAGGCCTGGGACTTTGGGGACCATGAGGAATAGGTCATGTTCAGGGCTGCGGGGATGGGGGTGGGGGGTCTCTCTTGACCTCAGCTAAAAGAGGAGACACCCAGTGGTCTGAGAGCTGCATGCTGCCCACAAGGTCCCTCTGGGCTGGTCCCAGCCTGCTCTGCAGGGTGCCCAACTTAGCCTATTCAGGCTGCTGTCACAAAATGTCACACATTGGGTGGCTTATAAACAGAAATGTATTGCTCATAGTTCCGAAGGCTGGAAGTACAGGGTCAAGGCTCCAGCATGGTCAGGTTCTAGTGAGGCCCTCTTCCAGGTTGCAGATGGCTGGCTTCTCGCTGTGTCTTCACATGGTGGGAGGGACAGGGGAGCTCTCTGGTGTTTCCTTTATCGGGGCACTAATCCCCTTCATGAGGACTCTACCCTTATGACCTAAGCACCTCCCAGAGGCTCACCTCCAGATATCAGCACATTACAGCTTAGGTTTCAACGTGAATTTGGAGGAAATTTGATCTGTAGCGGTAGACCAGCCCCCTTGCTCTGCTGAGTTGGAAGGGACCCCTCGTCTTGTCAGGCCTTGAATGTGAGCAGCGTGCATATTCCACCCTTTCCCCAGAAACACCCTGTTTGTTGGTGGGTGACTATTGGGGACGGGCTCTCTTCCAGGCTGGACACAACTTCCGCAATGTGGACATGAGCTACGTGAGGACTCTGTGTGGCACCAAACTGGGTGGACCCAAGCTGCCCCAGAAGTGAGTACTTGCTCCCTGGGGCATGAGTAGCAGACGTTTGTTTGGGACAGTGGGAAGGAGGGAAGAGAGAAGGCCTCCCTGGCGTCCACAGGTCTTACTTTTTCCAGAGACTCTACTTCAGAGCAGGGCTCAGCCCCAAATGCCAGTGTTTCCCACTGTGCTTCTCCAGGTGGCTCAGAGTCCTCGTGGGAAAGGTCCCAAACCTGGGTCTCCACAATCTGGATGGGCCCAATCTTGAATAAGGAAAATCTAGGAAAAGCCATGTGATGTTTTCTTTTTCTAGAAAATTCTGGACATTTTCGTGTAGACATTATTACTCTTGTCGGAAGCATTAGGAAAAATCTAACAGCGAGGATGGGATAGTGAAGTTATGGGACATCACACTGTGGTGAAGATATTAAAAATGATGTGAGGAGCCTGGGCAGACATATGATTGGGGGTGGGGCAGGGGAAGCAAGAAGCACAATTATGTAGACCCTGTGGCTAAAACTCTTGAAAAACACCTATAAAATAAGCTGAGAAAGAAGGATATGGAATGATAAGTTGTATTAAGCAGTAGAGTCAGGTTTTGTTTTCTGAAATTCCAAGGGGACATCCCTCTTGTGTATGTTGTGTGCCTCACTCCCTTTCTTGGGGACAGCCTGCAATCAGTTGGCCTTTGCAGGGATGGGGTGGAGTGGGGTGGGAAGTGAAGGTGGTAAGATGCAAGCTTATAATAGAGACTTTCCTTTATCCAGAGCTTTGTTTGCTGAGGACATAGATCTGCCTGAAAACTTCGATGCCCGGGAACAGTGGCCAGATTGCCCAACCATCAAGGAGATCAGAGACCAGGGTTCCTGTGGCTCCTGCTGGGTGAGGCCTGCTGGCCGGGAGTGGCTAGAGCAGAGGGCAGGGTGAGGGGGCGGTGCTGGGAGTGACCAGGGGAGTTGGGGTTGGACCAACTGTGACTGGGCACATTATATAACCTTCCTAAGTCTCAGTCTCCACTGGTATAAACATAGTCAAGATCCCCATGGCCGCGAGTTACTGCAGGGACTGGGTGGAGGAAAGGCTGTGTAGAGCGCCCTGCACCACCACGGCCTGTGTGTGGGCTGTGAAGTGCCTTTATTTCTCCGTTTGACACGCTGTCCTGGGCCATCAGCAATACCATTACTTTTGCCTTCTACTCTGCATCATGAAGACTCAGTGAGCTGTCTTACTTTTGTTTTTTAACTGTTGTAAAATACACAATATAAATTTACCCATCTTAATCTTTCCTTTTTTTAATCATCACCTGAGGACATGCTTAGGAAGAGGAAAGGGCAAAGAGAGAAACATCGATCGGTTGCCTTCCCTATGCTCCCTGACTGGGAATCAAACCCCCACCCTAGGTATATGCCCTGACCAGGAATCGAACCTGCCACCTTTTGGTATAGGCCAGGGCACTAAGTGTGTTCACATTCTGTGTCCATCACCACCATCCGTCCACACAGCTCTTGTCATCTTGCAAAACTAAAACTCTGTCCCCATTAAACACTAACAACCCCATCTGCCCTCCCCTCAGCTCCTAGCAACCACCCTTCTTTCTGTCTCTATGACTTTGACTAGTCTGGGTACCTCATAGAAGTAAAATCATAGAGTATTTGTCCTTTGCGTGAACTGGGGGTTTTTTTTGTTAAAAATCAAAACCGCATGTTTCAGAAATGAACTGAATGCCCAGGTAGAGGTGTGGGTAGGATTAAGGGGGCTTTAAAGCTAATAAGCTTGAGTGCCAGGACCCTTACCTGACGCTGGCAAAGACTAGCCACCAAGAAAGCCTTAGGTGCCCACTAAGGTCCTCCAAGGCGGTG